AACGTGTGCGGTGCAGATGCTGGCGGGGAGGGGGGGGGGGCGATAAAACCATTGGGTGAACTACCTGTTTCAAGAGCCCTGTAGCATCGCTGCCCTTACTTAAAAAAAAAAAAATAAAAATAAATAAAAAAATCAAGGGTTCAGTATTTTAGTATTTCGACAATTAATAGAATTCTTGACAATTACCACACAATTACGTTCAATAACCAATCTTTTTTTTTCTTCTAAAATGTCCCTAGCCTGTAAATACCCCAACAATTTTACATCAGAGCTTACAAGCGCCAGATATCACAAGAATAAGGTTGTCCTGGCAAACTACAGCCAAATGAGATAATTAAAGAATATATGCTCATTCAATCTAGGAAGGGCAGAAGTCTACAAAAAAAAAAAAAAAAAAAAAGGAAAAGAAATGCACCGCTAGTTAGAACGGTGATCCGTTCGGAGGGAGATTTGGATGCGCACAGAAATCACAAGAACTGGTTTGCGAGTGTCAGGGCACGTCCCTGTAATGAATCTGCAGTTTTACTCCGAAACAGGCCGTAGTTTGCAAAAAACAAACAAACAAAAAACAAACGAACAACCACAACAACAAACCCCTGTGGGGATGGATAGATGGATGGATGAGTACCCGGCAGAGACACCCCGAAAACGCCCAGAAACGCACCGCTGACTGCGGGAGCGGTGAGAGCACGGGCACCGGAGGCTGCAGTACCCGCACCTGGCCAGCCCGGCCCGCGGCGGCCGCAGCGCAGTCCCCACCGGGAGGGCCAGGGAAAGGCGACCCGATTTAAAAAACAACAACAACAAAACACACACACACACACACACACACACACACTCAGCGGGTCGCCTGGGGAGACGCCCCCCCAACCTCCTCCAGCCTCCTCACCTCTACACTCTGTTCATCCATCGCCTCCGACTCCCGGCGGGGCCTACAGCGACCCGCGGAGTCCGTGGTCTGACCTAGTGGGCGCCGGCCCGAGGTCGCCGGTTCAAACTGCCGCGGAGCACAACCCCGCGCCCGCGTCAGGAGGCTCCAACGACCGCCCCGCCGGCGCGCCCCATCGCCTCAGGCTCCGCGCCGGCTACCCCCACTTCGCCATCTTATCCGCGTGCCCGCCCTTCGAGAGCAGTGGGAGGGCGAGAAGCGGCCGCGGGTCCCTCCCGGCTCAGCCGCCCCAGCCGGGACCGCGAGGCGCGGGCGGGCGCGCGCGTGCCGAGCCGCTACGAAAGCCCGGCGCCTCAGGTCCCCGGCGCGGCAGGCACTGCGGGGAATCCACAAACACCCGCGGTAACCAGGGCAGCTGGAGGCGCGGCGGCGCAGGAGGGCGCCAGCGCGCATGCGCGCAGGACGCCGCGCTAGAAGAGCGGAGCGGGGAGGCGGGCGCCTAGTTCCCGCGGTGCGGAGGCGCACACGAGATTTGGCGGTTCCCGGCTGCGAGGTAGCTCGCCTCCGACCCCAGGATGCGGCCGGCCTTGGCAGGGCCACGCCCCTTCAGGGGAAAGGGGCGTGGCCCCGCCGTTCTCAAAACTTGCGCGCCAACCAGCGGAGCCACCTGGAATGCTAGTGGGAAAAAAACAAAAAACCCGCAAACTGCAAAGCCACACCCCTGGATATTATGATTCTAGGGAAGAGCCCCACGAAATCCGCATTGTCAACCATCTGTGTGATTTTGGCTGCAGATGGTGTATGGCCCGCTCTTTGCAATAACCGTGGTGTAGTGGTTACCTGGGCTAGTGATTTTTTTTCTCTGGGAGGAAGCCGAGACTCAGGTTTTTAAGATTTACGCTCCACCTGAAGCGAAGCTCCAGACGGTGAAGCCTAGAGCGATATAGTTTCTCATTTCAGGGCTGGGAGAATGGGACTGCAGGTTATGTAGAAGTAAGATCCACATCACACCTGCATTTCTTGCCACTTGAGGTGCGAGGTTGCCATGAGACTATACAAAGTACAAAACGGTATCAGCTGTATTCAGCTTTCCTAGATTGGCGGCCGCTTTCTACAATTCTGTATCATCCTATCTAGTAAAGAGGGAATATGCTAATTGGTCATTACTCGCATCACAAAGATGGCTGCATGCACAGCTGAGACCAAGTTCCCATAAAGAGGCTTAACCAGCAACTAGCTGGGATCTCAAGGTACACCCCTCCCCTGCTGAGAGGGGGAACTCAGACCGCACAGTGGGGCTTGACAGGGGACTTGAGGCTATACCCCACCCCTGCCTGGCAGGGCTTGATAGGGGACATCAGGCCATGTTCCCCACCTGGCGGGGCTTGATGGAGGACCTCAAAGCATGCCCCCATCTTGGCGCCTGAGGCTATGTCCCCTGTCCAGCAGTGCTTGACAAGGGTGGGACTGGCAGGGTCTGGATCTAGCCCAATTGGGGGTGGGGAGCTGGCTGGGTCTGGGTCTCACGTGATTTTGAGGTGCATGTGGGTGGGCGGGGACTCTGACAGGAGGAAAGTTTTTATATACATTTTACTAATCTTTCAACTCTGACACTTCTATTATAAAGAAAGGGCAAATAGCAATAATAAATTATTTCCTCTAATTAATCCCTTTTTAATGTGTATGAAGTTCATCCACCGGGTCACCAGTAGTTTAAATATTGCAGGAATTGAAGGTGTGAGACAAGGAGCGTGCATCAAATTCTTGATTTGAATTTAATAATCAAGAATTCAAATTCTTGATTTGAATTTAAATTCTTGATTTGAATTTAATTTTTTCTTCCTAGCTTGTTACAACTATTACACTTAGCCCAACCTAGAATACACGTGTAGAGAATCAACAATAATCTAGAAAGTTATTGACTATTAAAGCGTTTGGATTTTATTATTAGTGGGCAACAACTTTATGTGTCAAAAACTATTTATGTACAGGAACTTCATTAATATTAATTGCCTGAGTATTGAAGAAAATGAATATGTTACTAAAATGTAACTGTAAATTAAAGGAGAGGGCTTTCTGTTCTTGACATATTCAAACTGGACAGGACAATTTTAACTGGAATAACTCTTTTAACCCTGTTTGTCAGTTATTGTACGCTGGCCAATGGACAAATACGTGCTCATAGCAAATTCTTAAAATTATATCAAAGTATAATTCTATAACCTGCAGACCTAACATTTGATGTATTTTTCCTAATCTTTTTTCAATGCCTCGTTTTTTTTTTATTACATACATGGAAATATCATTTACTGAAGGATTACTAAAGATCCTTCAATATTTATCCTTCAAAACCAAACAACATTTCATTGTGCTTCCCACCATGCAGGCACAGAGAAGTTAAGTGATTTTCTCAGGGTAAAACAGCTGGAAATTAAAACCTGCTATTTACATCTCAGATATGATGTCAAAGCCCAATTTTAACTTCAAAACAGCAATATCTGCTTCCACTCCCCCATTCAGCATTTCCCTGAACATTAACAGTAATAATTTATAGGCAACTATGACCTCCTATTGCATAGATAGATACATCATGATTTACTTTCCTATTTGTCTGTTATTAGCCACATGTGTATGTATTACTAATGTAAATAACCCTGTGATTAACATTTATATCAAGATCTTCCCTACTTTGGACAATTGCATTATTGTCAAGTTATTTAAAAATAAATAGGGAAATACAAACACACATAAAATTAGCAAGCAGCAGTTGGCAGTACTCTTCTGATTTCAATTTCTTAGCTTTCATATAGAAAACAAAAGTACAGTAATATAGGCTGGAGGAGAACAAAGGTCAAACTGAAATACAACAGGGGAGAGTCACAGAAAGAGATGTGACAACAGAAGCAGAGCCGAGAGGGAAATTATCAGATGTTATGCTGTGGAAGAATGCAAGTACCTTTAAAATGGAAAAGGTTGACTCCCCTTCCCAACTTCTCCAAAGTATCCTGAAGGAGCTTCTGAAGAGATTATGTCAACTATACTACATAATAAAAGGGTAATATGCAAATTGACTGAACAGTGGAATGACGAGTCGCTATGATGTACACTGACCACCCAGAGGGCAGACGCTCAACACAGGAGCTGCCCCCTGGTGGTCAGTGTGCTCCCCTAGGGGGAGCACGGCTCAGCCACAAGCCAGACTGACCACTAGTGAGTGGCCCTAAACTGTCAGTTGGATATTCCCCAAGGGCTCCTGAACGGTGAAAGGGCGCAGGCCAGGCTGAAAACCGGCTCCCTCCCCCTCCCACTGCCCAGTGCATGAATGAAGTGCAATGGGCCTGTAGTAGATATAAAGTTGCTAGATATTCTATTCTTTTTTAGAAAAAAAAAAAAACGTTTTAAAGCAATCAAAGGACTACATTTTATCAAGAAACTAGCTCAATAAAAAACAAAATGATAAAAATAATTTTAAATATGTTTTTTAAAAGAAATTCAATAAAGAGAACCTAAAACAGCATTTGAAAGCAGAACTCATGTTGCTCAACATTACCAAGCAGAAGGAATAGGACAAAAATGGAAGAGGCTGTCACAGGAAAACCAGCTTATTACAAAGATTAGGTTATTGGACAGTATAGGTCACTTAGCAATCTCACTGATAATGTGACCACATCTTCAATTAAAATTTTCAAAAATAGAAAATTCTATACATATATATAATGTATAATACAAATATTTTTCCATCTTTAATTTCCAATGCATATTCATTCACATTTGACTGATAGTGCATAAACATTCTTTTATGATAGGACATCTTTGTTATCCTGATTATACAAAAACAGATGCAAAATAGTGTTAAGACTTTCTTGCCTGAAATTGCAAAATTAAGTGTGTATGTGTTTAAATCTTTTTCCCATTCCATCCTTTTGACTGAATTTATTCATATCTGTCCTTATATTCCCTCTGTGAAAGGCGTCACTATTCAGTCAACCAGGCCAAATCTTCTCTTTCACATACCCCACCTCTCGTTACCATATGCTAACAAGACATTTTCCTAAGTCTCTCTGGAATTGATCTCTTCTCCACCAGAGTCCCCTCTTGCAAGTCCATTTCTTCATAAATCTGGCATGTGAGATTTTAATTGCTGTACTGCAGTTTTCTCTTCTTCGGTCAGTGGTGACAGCTAGAAAATAAATGACAGTCTTTTTTTCAAAAACCTTTAAAGGCTTCAACTATAATTTTAACAAAAACACCTTTAAAGCCTATTAATTTAATTAACTTCTTTAATATATATATATATATATGTGTGTGTATATATATATATATACATATATATATACATATATATATATATATATAAAATTTCAGAGAGGAAGGGAGAGGGAAATAGAAACATCAATGATGAGAAAGAATCAATGATCGGCTGCCTCCTGCATGTCCCCCACTGGGAATCGAGCCCACAACCCAACCCAGGCATGTGCCCTGACTGGGAATTGAACCATAACTTCTTTGTTCATAGGTCGATGCTCAATCACTGAGCCATGCCGACCAGACTAGTTATCTTGTTTATCACAACAATAAATGTTTTCATAAGCTCATGCCACGTATATGATACAAATTTTGGAAAGCAGGAGAAAAAATAAATTATTTGGCTACCTTTATACAAAGTACTTTGATGTTTGAGTTTCCAAAGAACTTGCAATTAAGTTAAAGAAACAGCCCTAGCTGGTTTGGCTCAGTGGATAAAGCTTCAGCCTGAAACTGAAAGGAAACGGGTTCAATTCCAGTCAAGGACACATGTCCGGATTGGAGGCTCAATACTCAGTAGGGGGCATGCAAGAGGCAGTTGATCAATGATTCTCATCATTGGTGTTTCTATCTCTCTCTCCCTCTCCCTTCCTCTCTGAAATCAACAAAAATATATTAAAACTTTTTTTAAGTTTAAGAAACAAGATCAAGAAATCAAACAATTTAAGGACTATAATTGGACAGAAACAAAGAAAGTCTGAATGTTACATGTAAAAGTATTTTGATCAAGAAAGTAAACAAAAATAATCTTGAAGTTTCCTTAGAAGTAGAAACTTGGGCTAAATTTTGAAAGATAATTAAGATGCTTTTAGCTGCAAGTAAAAGAAACACATTTCAAAATGGATAAATAATACAAATCTTTATTTTTGCAAAATAAATACAGAAATAGGACAGATTTCAGGGCTGATCTATTCATTAGATAAGGACTCAGATTTCCCCATCTCACAGTTCTGATATTCTTGATGGTAGCTTTATCTTTAAATGTTTATTTTTTTTAGAAAGTTTTCACCCTGGCCGGTTTGGCTCAGTGGATAGAGCATCACCTTGTGGACCGAAGGGTCCCAAGTTTGATTCCAGTCAAGGGCACATGCCCAGATGGTAGACTCTATCCCCAATAGGAGCATGCAGGAGGCAGCCAATCAGTGATTGTCTTTCATTATTATTATTTTAAAAATATATATTTTATTGATTTTTTACAGAGAGGAAGAGAGAGTGATAGAGAGTTAGAAACATCGATGTGAGAGAAACATTGATCAGTTGCCTCTTGCATACCCCCTACTGGGGATAGAGCCAAGGTATATGCCCTTGACTGGAATCGAACCTGGTACCTTTCAGTTCGCAGGCTGATGCTCTATCCACTGAGCCAAACCGGTTTCAGCTCTCTCATTATTGATATTTCTCTCTCTATGTCCCTCTTCCTTCCTCTCTGAAATCAATAAAAGTAAATATATATATATATATATATATATATATATATATATATATATATATATATATTTTTTTTTTTTTTTTTTAAAGAAAATTTTTCTCTTGCCAAGGCTTTCTCATTAGTGAGGAAACTTCCTCATTTCCCACTTCCAGACTCCCTCTTCACATGTCAGTTGGGTTACAAACCCATTCCCAAATTAAGTTTAAAGGAAAATACATTCCCGTTGCCAATCAGGCACACACTGATGCTGAGGATAGTGCCAGCTTTATTTACCTCAAGCATGAGGCTGTGAGGGATAGCACACATTTCAAGAAAATCGGTATTCTGTAAGGCAGGAAGGAAGAACATAGATGCTAGAAAACAACTAGCGAACAGTATCCAACATGCCAATTGAAAGCATTACCTCCAGGTCTGTTTGCTTTTGTAGTTCTTGTATCACGGTCATAGTCTTATTGAATGTAGCACAAATGCGGCTCTTAGTCTCTTTCTGCTCGTCAGCAATTGGCTTAAAGCGTTCATGCAAAGTTTGAAATCGGGACTTTATTGCTGACAATTCCTGTAAGAGTGTAACTGGATTTTTCTATATCAGGAAAAAAATTATATATTAAATTATGGAAATGAAAAATTAGGCTTCTTTTAATAATTAAAATTTATCCAACACATTTTACCATCCATTTAATCAAATACTCAATTTTATTATACAACTGTGTGACAAGGATGGAAAAGGGAAAGAAAGAAGTAAGACTTAGATTCTATTCTCAAGAAATGTAAAGCCTCGGTGCAGAAGTACAGCATAGGGAGTATAGTCAATAATCCTATATAATAAAGATGTAATATACAAGTGGTCATTATGCCATGAAGCGTAATGACCGACTCTGTAATGACTAGATCACGGATCAGCAGGAGGGTGGGGCAGCAAGCTACAAGCATGCAGTGGAGAGCTACACGAGGGGGAAGGGCAGCAAGCTATGAGGGGGAGTGGAGGGAGCTACAAGAAGGCAGGGCAGTGGGCAGAGAGCTACTGGAGGGTGGCAGCAAGCTACTGGCAAGCTACTGGCACACAAATTCATGCACAGGGCTACTAGTAGTGTAATAGTGTAACACGTATGGTGTCAGGTGGGTACTAGAATTATCAGAGGGAATCACTTCGTAAATTATATAATTTTCTAAGCGCTATGCTATATACTTGAAACTAATATAAAATAATACTGAAATGTCAACTATAGTAAAAAAAATAAATTAAAAAATAAAGCCTATGAATAAAAATAGCTCACAAAAAAGCAACATTAAACAACAAATAAGTTGATGAAGAGAAAACCAGAAGTAGCACAAAAATATGAGATGGAAAGTGCAGGAGAAATGGGGGTACCCCATGAAATGCCTTCCACATATACTTCAAAGACACTGGCTCAGATGAGTCCTTTGGCCAGTCACTAAGTGGTACTGCAGCAGAATTGTTTGGTTGTTCTTTATTTAGTCAGAGAAAAAAGAGAGAGACAACTAAGTCAGTGAAGGAACTAGAACAGTTCTAGTAAGGAGCTAAAATGTTCAGTAAAAACTAAATAATCACAATGCTTTCCCAACTGTATAAATGTTACTTTAAGTTGTGCTTCCACTCAATCAAAAAAAATTTAATTGTATAACGTTTTTTAAAAAGCTGTAAAATATATTTCTTGACTTCTGGTAAATGCTATCAAAGATAAACATTAATGATTCAAATGATAAATTTATATTAATAACAATGCTTAAAAACTCTTTGCTTTCTTCTCCATGGGCATGTGTACAAGTAGTTATGGCATATAAACAGAGTTAATATTTCTAAATCAACCTAAACTTAGAATAAATAAGTACATGTTTATGTAAAAATCAGTTCACATAATAAAATGAACAGTATATCATCAACTTCTTTCATAGACTATCATTACCTCCCTTCTTATTTAAGGACTAGAATTCATGCACAGATGGGGTCCCTACGCCTGGCTGGTGATCAGGGCCTACTGGTGTCATCTCACCTCGTCCTAATTGGGAATGGGCCGGCCAGGGCCTGCTGGCTGCCAGATGGGGCCTGCTGGACAGGGCATGCTAGGAAGAGGGGAGGGACCACAGGTTTGCCCAAGGAGGGGAGGGATCAGGGGAGGTTGTTTGGCCATGGAGGTTGGCTGTGGGAGCACACTAACCACTAGGGGGCAGCTTCTGCGCTGAGCATCTGCCCCTTGGTGGTCAGTGTGCATCATAGTGACGGGTTGACTGGTTGTTCCAGTGTTCTGTTGTAACAATTGCTTAGGCTTTTATATAGATATATAGATTGTCCTAGATTGTCTATATTCTCTCACAATGTCAAAGGCTTCCACAATGGTTCATATCTCCTGACTCAATAATTCTTATACAAGGGTTAAAAAATAAAATAGCCACAAATTTCCTTGACCATGGATATAATAACATGCTGTGACCGAAATTTCAACATGAAAAGATTTTAAGATCCTATGAATTCAGTACTTAGTACTGTAATTTTTATAGTCACTACTATTAGAAATACCATCAGAAAATCTTTTGATAAAATATTCTGTTAAAAATACATTGATTTTGCAGATTACCTCGCCTGCTGAATCAGGATGATTAGTCTTGATTTCGTATTCCAGCCTGTACTGAATGTAATCCAGATCAGAGTCAGCTTTCTGGAACTAAAAATCAGCATAAGTCATTATTCTGTGAACCAAAAGGCATATTAATATACATGATACTGCAACTTTTCTTTTTATATCTTTTAGTATTTTAATAATGTGATATATAACTCATTTTAAAATTATGGAAATAAAAGTATAAAAAAACTACATGGTCTATAATGCCCAGGCTACATTAAAAATTTCTTAAACTAGTTAACATTTTGAAAATAATTTCTCTTCTGCATGTCTCTTAGATTCTGAGCCAAAATTAAAATACCAAGAAGCTACCACCCTATTAATACAATAACTAACAATGTCTTCAAGAACTCAATAGGATCATCCTCATCAGTTAAGCAGTGGTTTTTCCTCTCTCGTAGGAAACGAGGTTTCAAGTTAAAACACAGAACAAATTTATTTTCAGGGATTCTCTCAATTTCCATTATCTACAACCCTATTAACCAACGAATTACAGATAAATACCACACAGACCACAATTAGAGTGCTTAGAGTCACAAATTCTACAATGAAAACTGCATATACCACAAAAGCAGCTGTCTGAATAGACCAATTTATTGAACATAGGACCTAGAATAGAACCATCATCTGTAGTATACCTCTAAGGGAGAAATAAAAGGAGGGAAAGCTGCCACAGATCTAAATATGTGTGTGTACATATAGAAAAGCTGGAAAGGATATCTAACTGAAAAAGTGGTTTAGTGCTCGCTTCAGCAGCACATATACTAAAATTGGAACGATAGAAAATTTAGCATGGCCCTGGCGCAAAGAAGACACGCAAATTTGTGGAGCATTCCATATTTTTAAAATAAGAAAAAGTGGTTTTTATCTGAATAAATTATTTTTAACTTTTCAAAATTCCGCATCTTTTATATGATCTTAAAGCAGATCCTGCCTTTAATTTACCAAGGAAACATCCATGAGTTTACTATGGAAGGCAAAACATGATTTCCACAAGGAAATTGCCTAGCCTACAGCGTAGGAAACTGCTTTGGGGATAGAGTTTGGACCTTATTAAGAACTTAAGCTCTGAACTAAAGATTGGTTCTTGAAATTTCGAACCCTTAGTGGAAAGAGTAAAAGCCAAAAAACCCCACTGTAAACATAGTTCTCAGGTCAAATGAGAAACAGTCTACAGATATTTTCTTTACACAAAAGGTAGATTAAGGACTCTACTTTGGAATATAGAGTTAGATAAAACGGCTCTCAGAAGTTCAAATGCTTCTAAGATCAGAAACTGTCATCATTGAACAAAATTTCAGAAAGAGATATACTAAAACTTCCATCACTAATTTCTCTCATTGACCTCAATTTGAATGGAAAATTCTGTAATTACCAACATTCTATCTTTATAACCAAAAAAATTTCGAGTGGAAGTAAAAGGAGAAAGCCAGTTTTTGCTTTTAAATGTTTTCCAAAAGTCTCTTAACAGCAAATGAGTTGCTATGAGCAATCCCTCCCAACACACACACACAAATGTAGACATTGTTAATTTAAAATTTTTTTTAAAGTGTTTCCCCCCAAATAGAGGCTTTTTGTAATTTTTGTCCTATCCTATATAAGCAGCTGGCTTACGGGGGGCTGCAGAACAGATTTTTGTGGGTGACCTGCAGCTCTCCCATACTGTCATTAGTATTGGAATAAATACTCATATATGATTCAACCCTGTCTCTGCACTTAATTGGCTCAAGTAGTGATAGGCAGCAGGGACCCATTGATTGTTTGGTTACAAAGGCACATGCCTGGATCCCCAGTATGGGGTGTGCAGGAAGGAGCTGATCAATGATTCTCTCTCATCTCTCCCACCCTCTCCCTTCCTCTCTGAAATCAATATATATATATATATATATATATATATATATATATTTTAAAAATCCAAAAATCAAAAATAGAGGTTTTTCATGTCTTATATTATGGTACTTGTTAGATTAGATGCCAAAAGTAAATCTGTATAGTGGAAAATACATTCAATAACATCATGGTGGAAGCTTAAAATTGGTCAGGATGGAATATTTACGCCAGGAAAATCGGCAAATGCTAAAAGTCTGGGCTTTCTACTTTCAAAAAGTTTTTGATTTTGTTTTAATTCTCATGCCCTTTTAAAGTAATGTGTACACAGTTCCAGTTAAGGAAAAAATTGATAAAATAAATAGAATTATAAATATACTTTAAAATACAGAAAACAAAAAAAATAAAAGTAGAATTACCATATGATCTAGTAATTTTATTTCTAGCAATATACCCAAAAGAATTGAAAGCAGGGACACAATCAGGTATTTGTATACTTGTTTATAGAAGCATTACTCATAATAGACAAAAGGTGGAAGCAACACAAGTGTCCATTAATAGACGAATAGACAAAATATGGCACATAATTTAAAAAGATTTTTATTGATCTCAGAAAGAAAGGGAGAGGGACAGCTAGAAATGTAAATGATGAGAAAGAATCATGATCCCCTGCCTCTTGCATGCCTCACACTGAGGATTGAGAGCTTGTAACATGGGCATATGCCCTCACTGGGAATCATACCATGACCTTCTGGTTCATAAGTCGACACTCAACCACTGAGCCACATCAACTAGGCTTAGTTGGACATTGTTAATGACAGATATCATCAATCATAAAAACTACAGTGATAACTTTATGCTAGGCTGATACAATATAATGAAACAAAATATAGTTCAAAAGTAAGCAAATCTACCCATACATGCTCAATTGATCTGCTACAAAGGAGCAAAGGTAATCCACTGGGGAAATTATACTCCTTTAAAGAAATAGTACCAAAAGAAGAGGACACCCATATGCAAAAATAAAGACCCTCCACACATATCTGATACCATATACGAAAATGAACTCATAATGAATAGATCTCAATATAAAAACTAAAACTGTAAATCTTCTAGAAAAAAACATAGAAGTATTTGTGACCTTGAATTAGAAAAATATTTCTTAGAACACAGCAAGTATAAATCATTGAAGAATAAAACATATAAATTGAACTACATAAAAAAATTTTTTATAATCTTCACCTAAGGATATTTTTTCCCCATTGATTTTTAGAGAGAGTGGAAGGAACAGGAGAAACTGAGAAAGAGAAGCATTGATGGGAGAGAAACACATTGACTGGTTGCCTCCCACACCAGCCCTGACCAGTGCCTAGGATTAAGCCTGAAATTTAGATACTCCCCCTTGACCAGAATCGAACCCAGGACCCTTTCAGTTCATGGGCAGACATTCCAACCACTGAGCCAAACTGTCTAGGGTTGCATAAAAATTTTTAAGAAGGCAAATAATGGAGAAAATTAAAGGATTAATAATGTAATAATAAAAAGATAAACAACTCAATTGAAAATAGGCAAAAGATTTGACACTTCACTAAAGAAGATATATCAATTGCAAATAAGCACGTGAAAATATATTCAATATCATTAGCCATTGAGGAAATGCAAATTGAAATTATGAAATATAACTACACATCTACGAGAATGGCTAAAATGAAGAATGACAATAAAAAGTGTTGGTGAGGATGCAGAGAAACTGAAATCCTAATACATATCTTTGGAAGAGATTTCAACAGTTTGTTATAAAATCAAGCATATATTTAGCGTGCTGCTCAAGAAAAACAAAAACATTATGTTTACACAAAGACTTGCAATACAATCTTCATAACAATTTTATTCATAAATGGGTAAATGCTGGAAACAACCCAAAGTTGATAATTTGGTGAATGAATAAACAATTTGTGATAATTCTATACAAAGGAATATTACTCAGCGATAAAAATGGTCCAACTACTAATACATACAACATGGTCAAATCTCAAAAGCATTATGTTAAATATAAGAAACTAGACACACATATATACACACACATAAAACCAGACACAAAGACTGTATGCTACATATAAGTCCATTTACATGAAATTCTAGAAAAGGCAAGTGGTTGTCAGGGAATTTGGGAAGAAGAGGTTGACTGCAAAAGGGCATAAAAAGGGTATGGTGGTTATATGACTATATATCTACATTTGTTAAAACTCATCAAATTGTACACCTAAAATTGGTAAGTTTTAATGTATGTAAACTATATCTTAATAAAACTGATTATAAAAAAATAGTGCTGATTCACACTTTATTATATCTGAATTACAAAGAAAGAACTTTAAATCAAGCATTCTTAAGTTTTAAATTTGAACATTTGCCCCACGATGCACAGATTAAGATAGAGGAAAAGTTATCATAGGAAATATTCAACTGGCATTACTTTAATCCCTTACTAATTCATCTTAAAATTCAATTAAATAATACCTGAGATTTGCCAGAGCCTATCAAAATTCGTTACAGAAAGAAGCAAATTACAAAGTGCTACTCATTTAAATTGGCCATAACAACTTTAGCTATAAAAACTTTCCTCTCAATGTGTTTCATAATGCAGTGTGTTTTTAATTAGTTAAAAACTTTTTTCTAAATTATGATTTTTAAAACACTTTTGGTAATAACATTTTTTGTAATACAAAAGAAGTTTTCAGGAACAAAGGTTTTGGTAAATTACTCACAGATATTGAAGATGTAAGGCAAGAATCAAAATTCTGGTGTGCATGCTGCTTTCAGATGCTTTGACAATACTATTGCACTGCTAGTGTCAAGTACAGTAGTGCAATAAAGTCAGAGCATTCGTTAGCAGTAAAGGTAGAAAAGGAACACAAAAGCATCTTGCAAGACTTGAAGCTTCAGTGAGAAAATAATTTAAAGAAGAATTCCCATTTTGGACAGAAGACATGCAAAACCTAAGAACATTTATATCAATGTTAAAAAAAAAAAAAGAATCAGACTTAAACATCAAAATGAGGGTTTTTTTTTTTATGACTAACCTATGATTAATATTGAAATATAAGCATGTATATAAATAAAGGAATTTTGTAAATATGTCCTAAGTTTTACAAAATTCAAAAAATATTTCTGTTCTGCTGAGATAAATTGGTTAGTTCCTCCATAGCAATTGATTAACTTCCATATAAAACAAGTCTTTTGAATAATATCAAAGAAAAAAAAGTAAAATAATGTTTCCCAATCTCTATATACCCAATTTATCTCTGGAATACACCCTAATATGCAAATAGACCAAACAGTGGAACAACAGAACAACCACTAGCTCTGATGTGTGTTGACCACTGGGGGTGAGCTCGGAAAATGGCAGGTGTCTGCAGCAGGCAGCAGAGCATGGAACATGGTGGCTGTAGGTAAGTGGGGCGCCAGTCACTGTTAGGCAAGCTTCTGGTGGTTACTGAAAATTCTTTGCTCCCAGACACCATGCACCACCATCCTGCCTGGCATTTGAACCCGCTGCCAGCGCTGGCCCTGCTCACACCCACTGCGAGTGCCTGGCATTGGTCCCGATGATCACTCAGTGCCATCAGCAGGTGTTAGCAGCAGCTGCCGGACCCAATCTCCCCTGCGGGCTTTTCCACCTCCTCCTGCTCTGAGGGTGATTGGGGCAGCAGCCACTGTTCGTACCCACTGACAGCACCAGCCCTGCTTGCACCCAGTCTTAGGGCCAGCCCCAATGGCTTCACACCATCAGCGTGCAGGAGAGGGGGCAGTGGGCACGGGGCTGCCGGCAGACAAGGGGAGTGCCGGCAGACAAGGGGGCAGAGGCCACAGCAGGAAGGGCTAGAAGGGGCCATGTAGGTTGGGCCAAGACCTGCCCCTGTGTCCACTACAGCCTCATGGCCCAGAATTCCTTTCAAGGTGCACAAATTTGTGCACTGGACTCCTAGTTTAAACTAAAATACAAAAAGCTCTTACCATCTTAGGGCTTTTTATCTAGTTTAAAGACTTCCAGGGAATCAACGTATCCTAAACATGACAGCATTAGCCCTACCTAGCTGATTATGAAAAGGCATTTTCAATTTTCAATTAACCCCTAAAACATCAAAACATCTTTCTTAAATTTAAAAATCAAAGAGGCCCGGCTGGTGTAGCTCAGTGGTTGAGCATCAACCTATAAACCAGTGGGTCATGGTTCCATTCTGGGTTGGGGCACATGCCTAGGATTGGGGACTGGATCCCCAGTAAGGGAGAGGGTGTGTGTAGGAGGCAGCCAATCAATGATTCTCTTTCATCATTGACGTTTCTATCTCTCTCTCCTCTCTCTCTGAAATCAATAAAGAAATATTTTTTTAAAAAATCAAAGAGAAAATAATAATGGGATAACGGTGTATGTGTCTCCAAAATGTAAAGATTTAAGTACCAGGTTTCCTTGAATTCAAGCCAATTTGCATCCTCACTGGTAAGAAACTATTCGATAGTCAGATGTAAGCCCAGAAGTAGAAACAGTATCACTTACACTACCTTTTGTGCACAATCAGCAGTACCACAAAAGAAGGCCACTAGACAAATACCCCTCATTAAGTAAAGGAAAAAAGTTAAAGAACCCTACAATAAACTTATTCCCCAACTAATATTGTTGATTGATGAAAAAACACTTTCCATTATTTTCACTAATCTTTCTTTAAATGGTCCAGTTCAACTACTTAGTTGGATTGAGCCTATGAAGAAATGAACAAAATTCAGGACAGCTGGAACGTGAGTGTCTTGACCTCAAATTCTGGGCCACGTGAATCAGATATTAGAATATTTCAACTAGAAATTAGAGGATTGCATCAAAAATCATTTACATTTAGAATCTTCAAAACTAAAGTGGTTCACAGATGTAAGGAATTCAAGAAGAAAGATCTGCTTTCTTCTCTTCCTCTTTTAAAGGTTTGAGTCTGGCTACCACATAATTCTCTAAAACCTACTTTCAAGATGTATACTTATTCATTTTCTCATTAAAATAAAATATGTTCAATCTATTAAAAAAAAAAAAAGTCCTATGAGAATATTGACTCAATATATTGCAAAGTCCAGAAAAGGCTTAATTGGTACCTCAGCTAAACAGCTAACTTGAGGAGAGAAAAACTGTTAAAAGCAAAAGTAGTATCATTTAGCATCTTACAATTAGGTTAAAGTGTGGATATAGAGGGAATTCAGAAGGGGGGAGCAGAGCAAGACAATGTTAACATTTATGCCTGTTGATAGAATCAAACTACTAACAGTTCTTTAACATGTTTTTGTGGTTGTTTTTTTTTTTTTTTTTTTTTTTTTTTTTTTTTTTTTTTAAGAGAGTTAATGATAAAGATAACAAAACCTTGAACTAAAAGTTCATTATTACAGCTTTGGAAAGCTGCAGAAAATCCTTCTTCTCTGCCATTTCTCTCCCTCCCTATCTCCAACCCCCCCACCCCCAAGAAAATGAAAACTCAAAATACTAGAAGCAACTGAAAGTTCAAATCGAATTTTTATATGAGGCACTACAATTCATTAATACATCTAAGAAAATAAGTTATATCAAGGTCTCACATGTTTGGGGTGTGGGGGTGGGGAATAGGGGTGAGGATGGTATTCAGAATCAATACATGTGCAGATGTGTAAAGTGACCCAATATTCTCAGCTTGGAGAGGGCAAAAAAGGCAAAAAAAAAAAAAAAAAAAAAAAAAAAATCCCTAAAAAGTAATGACAGGGAAAAGCAAGGAGAGGAAAGGAGGGCTGTAGGTGGAAAAGATTTTGGCTTCTCAATCTTATTTTTCTAGAACGAAAAACTGGGTGTGTCCTCCAAATTACACGTTTTCAAGGAAGCCAGTCCAATTAAAAAAAAAAAAAAAAAAGCTGGTAATGCAGGTGAGAAAAGCAGGATGAAGATAAAAAACTAAAAAGAGAAGGAAAAAAAAAAAAAAAGCGCGGGCGATCCAGCTGGTCGTCCAGCGACGGGAGGGAGAGAACAGAGGACAGTGAGAGCATCCATGGGAGAAAACTAGGACAGCTCCTCCAGCAAGGCGCCCTCGGGCAGCGCAGGCCAAGCAGCGGCGGGAGTCCCCCGCCCCCTCCTTCCACAAATGAATGAAACGAGGCGACTGGAGAGCATGCTGCCTTCCCGGTCCCCATCCTGAAACTGGGAAAGGAGCTCATGGTTCTGGTGCCCATCGCTCCTTCTCCCCCCACCCCTCCATCTAAGGACTGCCTGCCCCCCTTAGGGCCAAACAAACAAAACAAAACAAAACAAAACAAAACAAAACAAAAAAACTAGTCTAGAAGCTTTCCTGGTTCTAGGAAGTTGAGCACCCAAGTCTAGCATCCTTGCCAGACTTTTCAGCCCGCCTTTGGAGGATGCAAAAAAAAAACACACAAAAAAACACACAAAACAGTTCAGCCCCGAAGGGATTTCTCTTCACCGCCCTCGGTTTATCCCCACCCAAACCCACCCTCCATCCCTCTTTTCTGGGGTGTGATGTGCAAGACTTCTCCCCTTCTTAAGATATTTTGTGACCATGCCAGTCTTCATCTTTTTTTGGTAGAAATACAAAACGTCTGCCACCAGCCACAGGTCCGTAAAGGTTTGGAAAGGTGAGGGCAAGGAACAACAACGACAAAAAAAATCCCACTGGCCCCACACCCTCAGCATCTCCCGCCATTTCCCTCACCGGTTTCCCGGATGTAACCCTTCCTCCCCCGCCCGCCTTCCCCCGCGGCGGTTAAAAAAACCAGGCGGCGCCAGCGGCGGCGGCGGCGGCGGCGGCGACGGCTCCCTTCGGTGCCGGAGGAGGGAACTCAGGTTTAGTCCAGCCTCCGCCGCCCAGGGTTTCCGGCGACTCTGAACCGCTTCCCACTTCGGGGAAAAAAACAAACTACCCCGTAGATCCCCTTCACTTTCCACTCACCATCAATTCCAGCTTATCGACCTCCTCCTCCATGTTGAATAGTTGACATTCCTCAGGCCCCGGCGGCGCGCTTCAGGCGCAAACCCATACTAAGCACGGAGGGTCCCTATTGGACAGCTGTCACTCAACGTCTCGCCCTCATTGGCTCCCCCGCTTCCCCGGCGCCCGCCCATTGGCGATTAAGGCGACGCCCCTCCTCCTGAAAAAACCTTTTCCAGTTGGGCAAAGACACACAATGCCGCCGGAGGGTTGGTGGCTGTACACTTTATATTTCTACATTGGCTGCCTCCTCGTCTCTACTTTCAATTTCACAGTCAGGACTCAGCCCGAGAAGATCGCGATTGGCGCGGTGGGAAGAAGAGCCAGCCAATCACACAAAGGCTTCCAACCAAGCGCCTAGGGGAGGTGACACACCCCCTTGCCTCTCCGGCGGCTCTTCCCCTTCACGCCCGCCTTCTCCTTATTCATACCAGAAGCGCCTCGGCTCTGATTGGCCGGCGCGTGCCGTGGCCTCGGCCAATCACAAGCCAGGCTGTGCCCTGGACGTTAACGGGAGACCTATTCGTGGGGAGACCTGGGCTACGATTGGTCCCTCCACCGTGAAGGTTTTAATTTTGAATTTTTCTTCATGGCGAGGGCGAGGCCACTGCCCGGACTTCGTCGAATCCCCCGGCTCTCAGACGAGTAAGTGCAGGGACAATCTTTCTTTGTTACCCGGGCTCGTGTCTTCCATGGCGGGGCCTGCTCCTGCTCGTGTTCTTAGTGGTTTACGGAGGTGGGGACTCTTTGGCTGGATTCGGAGGGGAGGCGGAGCGGGGCAGAGGAGGTTGAGGCGGGTAAGAAGGGGTGCCCCTCATGCCACCCTAGTCATATTTCTATTTAATGAACACTCTGAAAATTGTGTCTTGGAGGAAAGTATCTGCCTTTTTTTTTTTTTTTTGCACAGTCCTTCACATCTTTGCTACCCAAAGTGTGGACCACGGACCTCTGGCATCTGCATCACTTGGGAGTTTGTGCACAATGCAGATTATTGGACTCCACCCAAATTTAGGGAATCAATATGCATTTTAACGACATTCCTTACACACACACACACACACACAGTGATTCTCATGCACATTAAAGTTCGAGAATGTTAATTTTTGGCCTGGGAGTATTACTATAATCCTTCATATAGTCGTACTATCATCCCACATTCAGTGAGAATGTCCATTTTAGAAGTATGCCCTGTACATTGTCTATGTTCCTAATACTGTGCTGGACTAGGGTTTAAGGAAGCTGCAATTTCTAAAGAGAAGAAGAAGAAGAAAAAAAAGAGCCAAGAATTTAAAAAGCAATGCTTTACAGCATAAAATGTAAAATTAAATATATGAAAGTACCAGAGATAGCCCCGAGGATGTTCAAGAGGAATCAATTGAACTGGTTGGTAATGGAAATTGATTAGTGGGCTGAAAGCTGTTTACGGGAAAGTGTAAAAAACCTCCATAAAAATGTGTTTTAGGAATATATATGACATAAAATACATTATTTTACACACCTATTCAGAAAGATAACCAACAGACAATTGGTGAATCTAAGTGAAAGATATGAGTGTTTAGTGCCCTATTTTTAAATTTTTCTCAAGATTTGAAATTTTTCAAAATAAAAAGAATAGACAAAAATAGGTTATAGCAAAAAAAAAAAAAAAAAAAAAAAATAGAGGAAAGCCCAGGGGAAAGAGGGTGAAAGCAACTGCAGTTAGAGGACAGAAAGGGAAGGGATGATAAGGAGAAGGGACAGGATAAGTTAGAGGAATATTTATGACTCATATATGAATGTATATATGTGTGTCTTATACATAACATTAGGGGCCCGGCGCACCAATTCATGCACGGGTGGAGTCCCTCCATGTGGCCTGCAGGGACTGGGCTGAAACTGGCAGTCCAAAGCCGCCTGCTGCTCCTGCCTGTCACTCCTACTCAATCCTGCCCCTCTGGCCCGCAGCAGGCTTGTGTCCAGGCAGTCCTGATGGTGAACCCTGTGTCTGGCGCCTGTCCCAAGGGATGTGGGAGAGGGACTGGGACATGATCAGCCCTCCAGGTGGTCTGTGAAACACCCTTGCTGGCCTGGGATCCGCATCTGCCCCGCTGTTTGCACCAGTTGTCGGAAGCCACCTGGTGGCCACTTTTATAATATTTCTTCCTTGCTGAGCAGTTAGGGATGGTAAGTGGCCCGTGCCCAAAGCCAACTTACAGGAGGCTGGCAGTACTGGCAGGATTGTGCCAGGGGTGCCGGTCCATTGGTGCCTGGCCCATTCTCTGGTGATTGGACCTGCAGGACTACTGAGGGAGTGAGTGGCTGCCCCCAGGCTGGTGGACCGCCTGGACAGGTCAGTCAGCTGAGTAGTGCTCTCGTTGTGGGAGTGCCCTGACCACCAGGGGGAAATTCCTGCATTGAGCATCTACTCTCTGGTGGTCAGGGCTTGTCATAGCAACTGGTTGACCAGTTGTTCGGTCACTTAGGCTTTTATATATAGACTAGAGTCCCAGTGCATGAAATTCCTGCACTGGGGAGGGGGGTTTTCTCAGCCCGGCCTGTGCCCTCTCGCAGTCTAGGATACTTCGCTGCTCCTTACTGCTCAGCTTGATGCTCCTTAGCACTGCCGCAGAGGTGGGAGAGGCTCCCGCCATTGCCACTGCGCTCGCCAGCTGTGTGTCCAGCTTCTGGCTGAGTGGCACTCCCCCTGTGGGAGCTCACTGACCACCAGGGGGCAGCTCCTGCCTTGAACATCTGCCCCCTGGTGGTCAGTGCACATATTAGTGACCGGTCATTCTGGTCATTCCGCCATAACAATCGCTTAGGATTTTAGTATATAGATACTTCATATTTTCTACTCTACAATTGTATTTTTTTCACTTATTTTTTTTTAAATTTATGTTGTGGTATAGGTTCTTTGTAATTTGCCTTAAAATCTTCTCAAAACAGCCGAGACTGGTTTGGCTCAATGGATAGAGCGTCGGCTTGGGGACTGAAGGGTCCCGGGTTCGATTCTGGTCAAGGGCATGTACCTTGGTTGCGGGCATATCCCCAGTAGGGGGTGTGCAAGAGGCAGCTGATCGATGACTCTCTCTCATCGATGTTTCTAACTCTCTATCTCTCTCCCTTCCTCTCTGTACAAAATCAATAAAATATATTTAAAAAAAAATCTTCTCAAAACAAGGCACGTAAAAAGGAAAGAAGAATACTTTTCGATTTAAAAAAATAATAGGAAAAGTGCTTTGAGTAATCATGGAAGAATGAGTTTTAGTAATTGGAATCCCACCTAACCCAGCCAAAAAAAAAAAAAAAAATTGTATGTTTTCATTACTCTTTTGGAAAAGCGACATTTACAGTATATGTATTTTTAATCCCAAGGAAAATTGCTATATATTCTTTTAATAGGATAGTTATCCTTTACAGAGTAGAAAGGATATGCTTATTGATGAGAGAGAGAGAAAGAGAGAGAAAGAGAGAAACATTGATGTGAGAGAAAAACATTGATAGGTTGCCTCCCATGTATGCCTGACTGGGGATCAAGCCCTAAACCTTTTGGTGTTCGGATAACACTTCAACCAACTGAGCCACATAGGCCAAGTCTGTAGTATTTTTAATAAAGCAATGAAAATAAAACAAACCTTAGCTTGCTGAGTCCTTTTTCCTGTTTGAGGTGGAAATTAATTATCTTTAATTTTGGGGAGAGCTGTGATTATTTTTGAATAGAATATTAATCTAAGAGTTATCTTGGCTTACACCTTTCTACATTGACAGATTTGACATAGTCTCTGAGTTGTCCGCATGTGTTAATTGTCTGCATGTATTTAATTAGAAGACTATTAGAGTGAGAATGACCCAGAACCCAGGACACACACACTCTCTCGCTCTTTCTCTTTCTCTCTCTCTCTCTCTTTCTCTCTCTCTCTCTCTCTCTCTCTCTCTCTCTCTCTCTCTCTCACACACACACACACACACACACACACACCAAGCCAGAGGAGAAAACATGAATTAGTTCCTACACTTTTTTTTAAATTGAAAAATAATCTCCACAATGGCTTTTGTAGGATTCTTAAGCAATGTGAATGCATGGGTACTGGAACAACCACCAGGAAAGAGCTAAAAAGAGATGGCCCAGTTTCAGAATGGTGGCATTTTATTTTTCAAGTTAATGATACATTCCAAAGGTTAACTGTCAACCACTAACACAAAGCTAGAACAAATGAAAAATGGCAATTCTCTGAATTACCTATAATCCTGACTCCCATTGCCAAAGGCAACACTGTCCACTCTTATAATTTTTTCTGACATTTACCTCTATCTAAATAACATACTTATAATACTGCTTCTCTCTCTCTCTCTCTCTCTCTCTCTCTCTCTCTTTCTTTCTCTCTTTTCAATTTTAGACACTATATACATTTAGACAACTACTAATTTTTACTTTTCTTTCTTTCCAATATACCTACATCATCATTTCTAGTTGAATAAACTTTCAGTGTTTACACTATTAAATTATTTAACAGTGGAACATATAGTATTACTATGATTACTTGTACAAGTTTTTCCCTAATCATTTTTATATGCTTATATTTTTTAGCCCTTAGTAGTAATCTGGCCCCAATTTTACAAAAGTACAGTCAAAAGTAAATGCTTAATTTTCTTTCTTCTGTTACCAACTCCACCTATTACAGTGGATGTTCAGTAAATGTTACTGGCAAAGAAAGTTAATTCTTTTGAGTAACATACCATAATCCAACGACAGCTGTTTTCTCTGTTATAAAGAAATAGAAAATCACTTAATTTAATGAAGAAAAGCAATACAAACAAAACAAAATTAGTAATGTAATGCCAAAGCCAAGGTCTCTGAGATAGTTTAAATATGGATTTAAATTTTTCTCTACATTAGAGGACTTCTGGGCTGCTCGTAGGGACCTATTTTCTAACCAAGGTGGTGGTTACAGAGTATGTTTAAGTTTAATTCATTGAATGATACACTTAAGATTTGTGCATTTTATATATGTGCATTTTATTCTTATATGTGCATTTTATTTTTATATATGTGCATTTTATAAAATGCATTTTATATATGTGCATTTTATATATGTGCATTTTATTCTTCAAGAACAAAAATATTTTTATATTAATCTTCATCTGAGAGTATTTTTTCTATTGATTTTTAGAGACAGTGGAGGGGAGGGAGAGAGACAGAGAGAAACATAGATGTGAGAGAGACGTCAATTGGTTGCCTCCCCCATGCACTTTGATCAGGGTCAGAGATCCATTCTGCAACCGAGGTACATGCCTTTGGCTGGACTCAAACACTTCAGTCTGCAGGACGACACTCTCTCCACTAAGCCAAACCAGCTAGGGCTTTAAGAAAATTTTTTTAAAAATATTTTTTATATCTACAGAAATCATGCTCAAGTTCAAGCAACAAAGAAGGAAGCGAAAAATAAAACCAAAAAGGTTATTTAAAAAGAAAGAATTCTCTCACTTTCAGTCCAAGCAAGTTACCCCTTCCCCTGCACCACCCGCAACAGAAAGGTAAGGCATAATGTGGAACAGAGGAAAAAATTAAAAATCCCATCAGTTTAGGATAAAATTACTAGATTTAGCAAATGAAGATACAGAATGCCCAGTTAAATTTGAATTTCAGATAAACAATTGTGTTTTTTTATTGTCCCAAGCAACATTTCTAATATACTTATTCTAAAACTTATTCAGAAATTGAATTTTAACTGAGCATCCTTGAATTTTGTGTGGTAACTATAGTCTACGAGTTCAAATGAAGTAATGATCACAAGGAATTGTGTTAGAGGTGCACCGTAACTATTTTCTCTTTTTCTTACTCAATTTACTTGCATAAATATGATGATCAAGTGAGAAAAGAGAGGTATAATATTGGAATTTAAATCTCAGTTTTGGTAAAGTTAGGTCAGTTATTCCCTGGGACTCGGGGCTTAAATATGTTATTGAAAGAGACTTTAAGTTCTAGGAACCCAAGGGCACTGTGTCACAATAACAACTTATACATTTTGTTGTTACAGCTCTCTTTACAGAAAAAAATTTAAGCAGGGACCGGTTTGGCTCAATGGATAGAGCATCGGCTTGGGGACTGAAGGGTCCCGGGTTCGATTCCGGTCAAGGGCATGTACTTTGGTTGCGGGCATATCCCCAGTAGGGGATGTGCAAAAGGCAGCTGATCAATGACTCTTTCTCATCGATGTTTCTAACTATCTCTCTCCCTTCCTCTCTGTACAAAATCAATAAAATATATTAAAAAAATTTTTTTTTAAAACAAACAGGCCTTCAAAAAGCATGATATCATCCTCTTTTCCACTTCTCCCCGGTATTCACAAAGCCTCCTAACTGGTCTTTCTGCTTCTGCCTTTTCGTCCTCTGTAATAAGTCTGTTAAAATCGTGTCCTGTTGTTTCTCTACTTAAGGCTTTTAATATCTTTCTCTCTCAGAATAAAAATTAAAGTCCATAGTATGACCCCAAGGCCTTATGATCTGACTCTGACATTATTTCTTAATCGTCCTCTCTTCTCTTTCTCCACCCAAGTCATCCTGGCCTCCTTGCTATTTCTCAGACACCTCAATAGACTTCCACCTCAGGGCCTTTGCACTTGCCCCTGCCTGAATGCTCTTCTTCTAGATATTTGAATTGCTAGCTTCTGTATTTCCTTTGGGGTTCTCTCCACCCCCCACATTCCCCCCCCCACACTCCCCCCAAAAAAGGTCTTCTTTTCAGCGAGACTTTTCCTGGCTACCCTATCGAAAATTTCATCTCCAGCCAACATTTCACATTCCCCCTCTCTCACTTTATCTTCTTAGTATTTATACACTAACAACTCACATATGTTATCATTTACCTATTTTTATCTTTCTTCCATTAAACTTTAAACTTCATGAGGGTAGGGTTTTTGCCTATTTTGATTTATTACTAAATTCCTGATTCTTATTTATTATTTAATTTATTTTATTCATTATTTATTTACTCAACAAATATTTGTTGCATAAGTGAATCCCAGAAATCTAGAATTTACTGAAGAATTTGACTTTAGATAGCGTCTGTTCCTGACTTACACTATAAAATTAACTTGTTGTTTAATTAGAGGCTATTATTCCAACTCAGGAGGTTTTGCTTTATTTGGTTTTGTTTTTTCCCACAGAGTGGTGATTTCTTCAGCAAACACACCTCTTAGCAGAAGCTGGCTAAAACCATCCTGGAATTTTAAATTTCCCAATATCAAAGATGCAGTGAAACTTTGGACAAGTAGAGGATGGTTTATATACCACTGGTGCCAGAACTGCATAGCCCAGGTATGGGTTTGACATACCTGTTTTCAGCACTACACACTTGCTATGTGTGTGCACTCAGGTCAGCACAGCATTCAGGCTAAGCTCAGATAAGATGAAATTATGGGGTTATGTCTGCCTTTGTTTCTATAAAACAAGACCACTTTCTTGTCCTCTTTTCTTATCCTTATTGCTCATCAGAGTCGGGCTTGTGTATTTTTTAATTTTAGAGTTTAGAAGTATTGAAAAACGTCATCTTTCCTTCCCGTTTCTGCCACCAAGAACTTCATAGTTTAAAACAACAGTTTTGCGTTTTGGAAAGTGAACTATGCAAGCTCAAAGAAGCACTGAAGGTTAGTATCCTATATAATAAAAGGCTAATATGCAAACCGACATAACGAAGGAGCAATCCAGTCAGCGGGGGGCAGAGCCATCAAGTGGGCAGCACCAGGCCAGCCAAAGCCCGTGCCAGCAGGCAGAGGGAGTGGGCAGTGAATAGGGGTCGGTGGCAGAGGGCAATAGGGGAGCAGGGCCAGCCACTCACTGGCTGGTGCATCTCCCAATTAGCCTGCTGGTCACCTCCTACAGAGGAGCAGGCCTAAGCTGTCAGTGGGACATCCCCTGAGGGCTCCCAGACTGTAAAAAGGCGCAGGCCAGGCCAAGAGACTATCCTAAGTGCATGAATTTTCTTGCACCAGCCTTTAGTTATCAAATTAAAAACAAATCTGGGGCCCTATCTGGTTTGGCTCAGTGGATAAAGCATCAGCCTGTGATTAAAGGGTCCCAGGATTGATTGTAGTCAAGGGCACAGGCCCAGGTTGCAGGCTCATTCCCAGTAAGGGGTATGCAAGAGGCAGCCGATTAGTAGTTCTCTACCATCATTGATGTTTCTATCCCTCTCCCTTCCTCTGTGAAATCAATAAAATAAAAAAACCACATTTTTAAAAATCCACACAAATCTGGGATTAGATAAGGAGGGAAGGGGTTGTCTCCCATAAGAATCTTAATGGGCTTTTATTAGGATGGAATGACTGCTCCGCTCCCTATTGCAGGTATGCTGGCCCCTTTAGATTACATTCCCCAAGCTCTGTGTCACCTGGTTCCTGGTTGTGCTAGACTAATAGTAGACACAGTGGGAGACTAGAGCGAAGGAGAAGATAGGGTTTTTTCCCTATCATTTTCAGTGTTGGGCCATTTCTCCACAATAGCTGTAGTTGTTTCTCAAATTCCAGCTCCCACAAGGTAAGCCCACCACATTTCTTGATTCTCTGGGTTAACCAAGCTCCAGAGATCTGCTGCTTCTGCTCTTTCCTTTGTCCCTCCATTCGCAGGATATTCATAACTTGCTGCTGTTGAAAAGTTCTGGGCTGCCTCACTGTCCCCTGAGTGCTTCTCATCTCTTCCAAGCAACAGGGGGACCAACTGCCTACATTACATTCCCCATCTTTGAAATACTCAGGGTGTTTTTATTTTCTTGACTAATAAAGGCAGAAAAACAAACAAACAAATCCCAAAACTGTAAACATCCACCCCCTCCAATCTCCTGAGCAAGAACTCTATTCTCAATGTCCAAAACTCAAAGAACAAACATTGCACTCATTGGTTTAGAGAGAAACCTCTGAGGTTTTATTCCTTCTCCCAGAATTTGTACCTCAAGATGAACTAGCCAGATGGGGGAAGACAAATCACCTCACTCCTCTCGGCCTCAGTTTCATCATCTCCAAAGTGGGGACGATGCCTTCTTTAGTGGGCTGAGTGACAGCCCCCCAAAAGATATGTCTAAATCCTAATCCCTACAAATATTACCTTATAAATATCCCTATAAATATTACCTATAAATTTTAGCTTATTTGGGAAAAGGGGTCTTTGCAGATAAAATTAAGGATTTTGAGATATGGAGATCCTGTGTTACCTGGGTAGACTACATCCAATGGAACTTCATAGTCTAAAACAAAGGTTTTGCATTTCGACAATTAAGTGAATTGTCACTTAATAAAGAATGATCTGTTTTCAGTACCCAAAGATACTAAGGCTATTCATGAAATGGTACAACTTTGATAATTAGAGATGAGCTAGTTCTTAAAATTATGCATAAAATTATGCATAAAGATCTAATACCTGGCATATCATACATAAAACAAATGTCTGAATTAAATTTAAATATATCATTGAAGATTGCTCCTGTTAACATACTATTATTTATAATACTAAACTTTTTTCTAGGCATATAATCTACTAAGATACATAATTGATTTAATTGAATAACTGAATGAATGAATGAACATGTGATAAATGAGAAAACATGATGTACTGAGAAAGTATTCTATATAGTACTTTTTACGTGAATGATTTTTGCTGCAAGAACCAAATTAATCTATTATTTCTTTGCCAAATATAATGTCCTCTTTCAGACTGTCACAGAAAATTCTTCCTGTCCAAGTTGTGGTCATCCCTGTTACATGAATGGTAAACTTCCAACAATGCCAGCCTGTGCTCTAACCACCCCTGGAGAATCCGGAGCTGTACTTCCTGCCACACCAGCAGGCCATCTTCCTCCTGCACCCCCACCTCCACCCCCTCCACCTCCTCCACCTCTGCCTCCCCCTCCACCACCCACAATACCTTTGCTGCTCAGAAAATCCAATCTCACCAAAGCACTTCAGGTAAAAGCAATCTAGTAACGGTGTGTTTTGGTCAGTATGTAATGGAGGACTAAAGACAGGTGTCATTTTAAGGCTGGGCTAAGGATTTTGACAGGAAAGCCATATTCTGATTCCATATTTAATTATTTCAATTATTGTGTTTATAAAAAAAATCTGACCCCTGGGAACTCACAAAAGCTAGATATAGAAATAAAAGTTATTTTGTTTAAGGATAAGTGAATATAATTTAGCGGAGTAGATTTCTCAGCATATATTTTATTTCGTTCTCCAACTAAACCAGTAAGTTTCCCTTGAAAAATGTCAGCATATCTTTTAACCAAGAGGAAAACCTCCATGAGAAACCAAATTAAGAACAGAAAATAGCTTAGTGAAAAACTCTGAATAAAAAGAGTTGGTGGATCCATTAGGCTAGAGAACCAGTCTCCATTATGTTTATTTTCCAGTCAAGGAGACTGGAATATTTGTAAATCACTAAGATAGTCATGATCCTGTTTTAAAATCTGCTGAATTTTCACTATGGATACATTTGATTTATACTGGCTGAGTTAAATCCAGAGCCTACCAGCTATATTTGCCCTAATATAAACCTCTCTGAATGTACATTTTTGCTGTATGGGAACTGGACCATCTTTTTACGTAGTTGAGGTAAATGTCATTTTGACTTAAGGAGCTACTTTAACTCATGTTTTATTGTAATGACTACTGAGGAAGATGCATAATTTCAGGAACTAGCTCATCTCTAATTATCAAAGTTGTACCATTTCATGAATAGCCTTAGTATCTTTGGGTACTGAAAACAGGATCATTCTTTATTAAGTGACAAGAATCTGATAGGTTCCTAGGATAAATAAGAGATAACTTTTAACTCTAAGTCTTTAAAAACTATATTATGATTTGCATTTGACTAAATATCATGGTTCCAAATTGAATTCTAATTTTTCCATGCATTTTAAGCCTGGACCATTGAAAAAAGATGGACCCATGCAGATAACAGTTAAAGACCTAATGACTGTGAAATTAAAGAAAACTCAGAGTTTTGATGAAAGGAAAAAGGTAAGATATCATTGATCATACATAGTCTTTAAGCTATTAGCCTGATTGTCCCTTTATGGAAACAAAATATAAGTCTTGCGTAGAAGCTATCCCAAGATAAGTATTTGATGTCTTATTTAAATAGTTGTGGCTCTCTGCAACAAAATACATAGATTCCAGAATTATTTAATTAGCAGTTTTATGTGCCAACCATTAGTTTGAAGAGGTAAAGACATACTTTGAAGCTTTAGAGTAAAAATTGAGTGGAGTAGTGGCTATATCTTATGCATAACCAGCATTCAAATATTCAACTTATATAGCATGTTTATATTTTAAATATTTTTAATGTATTTTTTTAATAATGGTCTCATTTTACAATTAAAGCTTGTTCCATCATCAGAGATACGGAATCCACTAGTTACTGTCTCTGACCTGCAGCGTCTTACCCTGAAGCCCAACTCCAAAGCATTATCAACTCGAGTTACAAATGTCTTAATGTAAGAAATTGCACCATTTTATCCTCTACCACTTCTTAAAAGAATGTTGTTGTTTTTTTTCTTTTTTCTAACTTTAAAAATTATGCATGTGCATTGTGGAAAAAATTGTATCTACAAAAAAATTTAAAGAAGAAAACAAAAATCATTCAACTAAATATATCATTAAATATTCCTACTGTTAAAGTACTATTATTTATCATTCTAATCTTTTTCTAGGCATATAATCTATTGTTTATTATAAAATACTAGAGGCCTGGTGCACAAAAATTCATGCACTCAGGGGCAGGGGGAAGTGTTCCTCAGCTCTCTTGAAGTCCTGGACCCCTCAGGGGATGTCCAGCTGATGGCTTAGGCCTGCTCCCCTAGGGATATGGGCGTAAGCCACTAGTTGGACATTCTTAGCGATGCCTCAGAAGTGGGAGAGCCTCCCTCCATCACTGCTGTGCTGGCCAGCCATGACCTAACTTCTGGCTGATCAGCACTCCCCCTGTGGAAGCATCTGCCCCCTGGTGTTCAGTGTGCATCATAGCAACCAGTCATTCTAGTCATTCCATCATTAGGCTCAATTTGCATATTATATAGGATACTATTGATTTGATAACAAATTTTAGGGGGAAAATTACTATTAAGAATTTGCATATTATTATATAGGATACTGTTGATTTGATAACAAATTTTAGGGGAAAAATACTATCAAGAATTTTAGTAACTTGTATACCTCAATAAAATAAAGTTTAAAGCATTTCAATTTCAAAAATAATAAAATATGAAAACTAGTATGTCTTACAATCAAGGAAACAAAATGTATGTGTGCATACCTATGTATAATCATATTGTATATAAGTTATGACTTTTTCAATTCAGTGTGTCATAAGCTTCTCCCATCTTATTAAAAATTAAAGCATCATTTTGGCTTCTTAAATACATACTGTTTATTATATATAAATTTCATAGATAAAATCCTGTTTTGAGACATTTAGATTGTTTATGATTTTATATTTCAATGAACATCCTTATCCATCATCTCTGTGCATAGCTAAGTTTTCCCTAAGATGGATTTGTATATATGTAATTACTAAGTCAAGAAGAATTGCTCTGAAGAATTATTATTTCATCTTAATCTGCTATCAATAATGCCTACTGCTATTTTTTACTATTTCTAGGATATTATCTATAAAAATGACTGCTTTGCTTTTGGAAAAATGATAAAATCTAATAAGCTCTAATTTTGATGTCTTTATTTTATCAGTAATCCTGGTAAAAGTCAGATAGACCTGCGGAAACTACTTAGAAAAGTCGATGTAGAGAGGTAATACACTGTCTCATCTTTATGTTTTCCAAATCTGCATAATTGGCATAAAATACAGTTTCTAATAGTTTCATTACCTTTGCAGGAGCCCAGGTGGGACCCCTCTTACCAATAAAGAAAATATGGAAACAGGAACTGGGCTGACCCCAGTAATGACCCGAGCCTTAAGGAGAAAGTTTCAGGTAAGCCTTTAGAAAAAAAAAAGTTTTTTGGTTCCTTTTCTTCAAAATTATTTGTTTAGAATCTTAATCTAAAGCAGCTTTCTTAATAATAATCTTTAAATGATACTTTATGCTTTACAAAGCACTCACATATTTAGGCTTCATAAAATTCTATGAGATAGTAAAGATTATCATCTTTACTTCACCAATGACTGTCTGGTTTTTAAAAATTTTTTATTAAGTATTTATTAAACACTTCTCATATGCCAGGCACTGTGCTGGAGTACCAGGGGTACAGTGATAAGCAAAACAGACACAGATCTACAGCTTTGGAACTTTCAGTCTAGCGGGGAAAATAGATGTTGATCAAATAATCACATATATGGATAATTGTGCACTAAAATAAGTGCTGTGAAGGTAAGGAATAGGGTTCTGTAGAATGCATGATTGCAGAAGGATTCTCTTAGAAAGTGATGAGGTGAGATTGGAAGGATGGATGGACATTTGCTATGTATGTAGTATGGGGGTGAGCCTCCCATGGATGTCTTGGAAGAAAAAGTTCCGAACAAAAAGAACAGCATGTGAGTAGGTCTCGCAGTGAGAGGAATCATAGTCTATCAGAGGAACTGAAAAGTGGCCAGAATGGCTGCAGAGAGAGCAAGCTTTCAGTGGTGACAGACAGGGATGGAAATGTCGCTAGGAGTCAGATCATGCAGAGTCGATAGGAAAAGGTCTTGGCAGCTTTTTTCTTTGTCATCTACCTGTATGCCCACTCACCAAAATCCCCGTACATCAGTTCACCCTGTGTGATTTTTTTCCAAACCCTGTTTATCTCTATCATCTCCCTGATCAGATCTGTACGGAACAGCCATCCTTCTGCCACCCCCGCTAGAGTGCGGGGACATACGGCTGCTGGCCTCTTTGGCTATGAAGCTTACATTACTGTGTCCCTCTGGCAGCAAAGCTACACCATAGACTTCACTGCTGGCCACTTCCACCCCAACACTCTCCTCATTAAGAAACTGCCTTTTGCAGGACAGCTTGGTCCTGCTGGGACTGTATGGTCTTCTTTGGATGTGTGGCCAGATTTCTCTTTCCTCCTTTTGGAGCATCCTCTAGGGCTCTGCCTCTGGATTACCTTCCTTGGTGATAACACAGATTGTGATTTCAGTGAGCCAGATATAACTGCCTGCTTAAGATGCTAGAAATGATAGCAGAGGGCAGAGGCCTCACAGAAGGACTAAGCCTCTTCCTTTCTTTCTTCAGTTCTAGGATCCGTTTTGTCCCAGTGGACTGGGTAATGTAGAAACAAGAAAAAATATAATAAATAATATATCCACATATTTAGCAACAACATAAAAAAATCACAGATAGGCCCTAAGTCCTATATTGTGCTCCTCAAAAGACACTTGGTAGGAGAATGTCTAGCAATGCTGTTGAGGATAGAATGACTTTTCCCGCTCAGTCCTTAGGCTCCTTCCTTTAACTTCAAAGCGACCGCATTCGTCAGGTCTTGCATTTGGTTGCAGGTAACAGAAATCTGACTACACAGTGTCATAACCAAGGGCTTTTTTTTTTCTTACCTACGGATTCCCTTGAGAAGCATGCAGTCTGTAACTGGTACAGCAGCTTCACCATGTCATCATTGCTTTTCCATCCTTAAGGTGTGGCTTTGATTAAGGTGCAGAATGACTGTACTTCCTAAAGACTCATATCTATGTTCTAAGCAAGATAAGATGTGCAAAGGACAAGAGGGTGTGCTGGCTAAGATATCCCTAATCTCTTTTAACAGTTGCTATCCAGGACCTTCTAATTATATCAGAGAAGCTGGGAAAATTGGATTTTAGAATCTGGATGCATTGCTTCCTTGCACAAAATCTGGGTTCTGTTAGTAAGGAAGAAGGAGAATTGTGTTAGCTACAGGAGCATAATGCACATTATACTTGAGACTTTACTTTTTTTTTTTTTTTTTTTTTCATAGCTGGCTCACCCTAGAAGCCCAACTCAAACTCTGCCACTTTCTACAAGCAACTTTGATGAACAAAACTGATGCCAACTCTGCCTGACTCCATATATTCATCCATAAAATATCCATAAAGTCAACCCACTCCGTTTTTAAAAATGTAGTATGTATAAATAAGTATTCTAATTTATAATTCCATTTAAAGAATTACAGTATTATGGAGCCCATATTTACTGTAGTATACTAGTGAAGTGGGTATTTGGATATTTTATAGTTTGCATGGTAATAAGAAAACAGAATGGAAAATATAGTCTCCAAAGTGATGTTAGTCCTGGAATTACCCAATTTAGGTTGGAGAAGTTTTTCAAATTTAACTAGATGACTAATTTGTACTCTGTAGGTACACTTAATGACCTTAAGAGAATAATCTACTTCCCATTCATCTTGGGTATTCTCAGGTTATTGAAAAGTATTTCAGCTTTTAAAGCGCATGCATTCATTAAGTGCTGCACACTTGATCAATAAGAAAGACCCTCTAGATTTTATTTATGTTCATTATAAACAGTTAAGAGGTAAGAGCATCCGAGATCCAAACCCACCTATTTTCCAAAAGGTTTGGAAGCAAAAGGTCCAATGTGATCTTAAAAATTAGAATGTATCATTTCTAGCATCTTAGGTAGGGAGTTATATCTGGCTCACTGAAGTCTGAGATATTCATTATTTTGATGTCTGCTGTCCACATTCATACAGCTAAATATAAATCTCATGAAAACTTCAGGCTGAACCTTGTATTGTCCACAGTGCCCTAAGAAGGATTCTTTGAGGTCCATAGCACATTCACATAAGACCTGATATCTTGTCCTCAATAGCCTGTTGATTCAGTGTAAATAATAATGTACACCTAACTGGATTAGTGTGAGTGTGAGGGAACATGCAGGACTATCTTTAATGCTGTAAACTCCCCTGCAGTTCCAGACAGGAGGAGAGTAGTTCTTCATGGATAGGGACCCAGGGGTTTTAGCTACATAGATGATAATCCGTGAAATATCCCCTGGTTAACATAGGCTTAAAAGATATTTGAGCATTTTCCAGAAATGCTTGTATTTCCATAGGTAAATATTGCTGTGAAGTGCCAAATAGTGTTATAAAAGTCACCAGACTGGAAAGCAGACCTGGGGATACTGTTTTGTTTTTTATGACCTCCACATTTATGTTTACAGCACATTTATAGATAAAAATTCAACAGATATTAGTTAAGAAACATAGGTGCTTCCAGTAAATTTTTTTAACCTGCTAGCTACATTTATATTATCTATATTAATAAAAGGTTAATATGCTAATTAGACCAGGTTAAATGTCCTTCTTGCAGTCATCTGACTTACTTCCAGACAAAGCCATGGTGGTGGGGGCCGAGGCAGAGGCAGTTAGGGGTGAGATCAGGCTGGCACAGGAGAGCAGTTAGGGGCGAGATCAGGCGAGAAAGTTAAGGGTGATCAAGCCAGCAGGAGAGGGCAGTTGGGGGCATTAGGCAGGCAGGTAGATGAGTGGTTAGGAGCCAGTGGAGAGGGTGCAAGCCAGGCTAGGGTCACATCCCCCCTCCCCCCTATCGTGTATGAATTTTACCGGGTCTCTAGTGTGTGAATAAAGGGAATGATCACTCAGAATAAAGTAGTTGAGCATTTGTACAAAATATTTTATTAGGCACTCATAATGTTTCTAATATTAATAAACCGCTGTGTACTATGTTAATTTTAAATTATATATTTTTTATTGAGTTTTTACAGAGAGGAAGAGAGAAGGATAGAGAGTTAGAAACATCGATGTGATAGAATCATCGATCAACTGCCTCCATCACACCCCATACTGGGAATGTGCCCGCAACCAAGGTACATACCCTTGACCGGAATCGAACCCAGGATCTTTGAGTCCTCAGGCCGACGCTCTATCCACTGAGCCAAATCGGTTTCGGCTACTATGTCAATTTTAAATTATATAATCATTCTTGTGGTATAAAGGTTTATAAAAACGTGTTATAGAAATTCTATAGATAAATATTTGTAAAGCTGCTATTGCCATCGTACTAGTATTAAAATGGATTCTATCTTGCATTATGTATCATTTTTATGGCAGATTTTTTATTGTACCCATTTGAAAATCCTGTAAATGTTATGGCTACATTAAACTGTTGCTAATCATCAGAATAAACAAAAGCCAGCCTTGGACCTAAAAAGATTTCAGATGTTCTAATTACTGACTATGGGTTTTTAAAAAATAAATATTATATCTATCAATCTTTAAAAATGAACAGAGGTAAGGAAGATGTCCATAAACTAAATAAAACTTCTATAAATGACATATAAAATTAAAACTGGTATAATGCAGGAGGTATATCATCCAACAAACCATTCCCTAAAAAGGGATAACAATTCAGGATGAAATATAAAGAACATTAAAAATAATTAATTGTTATTGGAATTCATCAGTGAACAAAAAGATACAGATCCCTGTTTTCATAAAGTACTTTTTTGAAACTAAATAAGAGTATGAAACAAAAAGAGGAGTGTACGTACTTTGAAAAAAGCACTTTAAGTGACTCTATTATGCTCTCCTTGTACAGGTTCACTCAGGCCTAGAATTACAGTACTAGAAAGCATTACAGCAAAACTGTAATGAAAGCCAAAAATTAAAGCATAACAAAGAGGAATACATAAGACACGTTGTTATATTTCATTATATAAATTCTTACTTATTTTCTCTTCTAATTAATTCACTTTATCTCTGGATTCCTCCAGTAGCAATGTTAACTCTTTTATTTTCTTTCTCATTGTTTTGGATCAATAGCAGTGATACCTAAAATTGAATATTTAAATAACATATTATAGATAAGAAAAATAAAATATAACCCCTGAAAAAAACAAAACAAAAAAAACAACTGTTGCTAATCATATGTTCCCTGTGTTTATTTTGAGACTAAATGACAACCAGAGACTATAAACTACTACCACGATACATCCGGTTATGTTTTTAAATAAAGAGCAATAAAAGAGCCTTTAGTTTTTCTCTTTTTTAATGTTTCACCAGAATCATAGTATATAAAGAAAGGTACATAAAACATTAAGTATATTAACAATTCATAAAGCAAACACTCAGCTAATCAAGAAGACATCATAAATGTCTTTAGAAGCCCTGACTGTCATCCCCTCCCATGTTACAACCCTTTTCCTCTAAAACTAATCACTGATATGCTTGTGACCATAAATATTTCTTGTTTAGTTCTTTCAAGTATGCCTCCCTACATGCTATGGTTTATTTTGCTTGCTTCTGAACTCTTATGTAAATAAAATCATACATTATATTATATTCTTCTGTCTTCTTTCATTAATCCTCAGTCAGAGGACTTCCCCCCATTGATTTATTGTTTAAACATAGAATGTTTCACAAATTTGCATGTCATCCTTATGGAGGGGCCATGCTAATCTCTGTATCGTTCTAATTTTAGTATATGTGCTGCCAAAGCGAGCACTTTCCCCATTGATTTTTTTTAGAGAGTGGAGGGGAGGGAAAGAAAGAGAGAAACATTGATGTTAGAGAAACACATGGATTGGTTGCCTAGGAGTCAAAACCATGACCCCCCCTCGCTCTAACCATTGAGCACACCAGCCAATGTCTTCTTTCAATCAATATTTATTTTTTTAAAGATTCAACCAGTTTTCCCTAGCTGGTTTGGCTCAGTGGATAGAGCATTGGCCTGCGGACCGAAGGGTCCTGGGTTCAATTTTGGTCAAGGGGCTGTACCCAGCCCAGGCCTTGGTCAGGGCTTCTCCAGGAGGCAACCCATGGATCACATAGATATTTCTCCCTTTCGCACTCCAGAAATCAATGGGAAAATATTCTTGGGTGAAGATTAAAAGAAAGGGACTCAACCTTTTTTTGATGTGTGAATATGGTTATCCATTCTGTTGTTAATGAGTATCGGTGCTGTTTCTAGTTTTGGGCTATTATAAAACTGCTAGGTTACAAAGTGCCTATTTTCTAGATACTGTCAAACTGCTTTCCAAGTGGTTGTACCAATCTGTGGTCCCTTCACCAAAGTGTAACTAACAGTTGTTGTTTCTCCTGTTTTCTTCAAGAGAGTCTTTTCTATTTGGTTTTCAACGTTTTGCTTAATTGGAAAATCTATACAATGTGTGAGGTTAAAAGAACTATTTTTCCAAGTCAAAGCATTGTTAAAATAATTTGTCAGCAAAGTCACTTACTAAACATAGCAAATAATCGCCATGTTGAGGGCCACAATGTAATTTATGTGGATGAACATGTAGATGTTTTCATTTTAGTTGGCTTTTCAAAGAAAAAATAGGATCTGAATGTGTAGAAGGGAGGCAACAAGTAGAAAAAGAATTTAAAATAAAATTTTAAAAACCCACCATTGCTCCTTTCTAAAATCTTGTAAGAGTTGGTTGAGAAGAATTACTGCAAGCCAAATATAGTATAATATATTAAAAACACCAAACCACCCACCACAACTTAGGGTCCCACCCTTCCTTTGAGAATTAAATGAGGCAGTTCTTCCCCACCATTTTATTGAGATGCAACTAACATACAACATTATTAGTTTAAGGCATCCAACATAATTATTTGATATATGTATATATTGCAAAATTATTTCCACAGTAAATCTAGTTAACATCATCACCTCATATAGTTACAATTTTTTCCTTGCAATGAGAATTTTTAAGATGTATTCCCTTAGCAATTTATTTTTCTTTTCTCCCTTAGCAACTTTCACATATGCAGTACAATACTATCATCTATAGTCACTATGCTACAATTACATCCCAGAACTTCTTATCTTATAATGCTCAAGTATGTACTTTCTGATCACCTTCACCCAGCTCATGCCCTCCCGCGCCCCAATCGGTTCTCTGTTTCTACTGTTAGGTGTTCTTCTTTTTCTTATTTAAATTCCATTTATAAGATTACATAGAAATAATTCCTGTTAATCCTCACCTGAGGATATTGTTTTTCCTCACTGATTTTTAGAGAACATGGAAGGGAGGGGGAGAGACAGAGAGAACATCCATGTTAGA